GAGAAGGGGGAGGCGGGGACTCAATCTGTCCCCTTCGCGAATTTGACTCAGCCGTTCTGGCTTCGCGCGGCGCGGCTAAGGTGCGCCCCAACAGTTTTCCTGCGGCGTCCGGCGCCGGCTGAACGTTTGGTCAGATGGGCGGCCAGACGTTCTGTAAGATAGCTTCGTAGTGCCCATCGTAGATACGCTCGGAGTGTTTTCATGTCCGAGTCGTCGGTGCCCTAGCAGTGAACAGGCGCCAGAGGAGCGGGCAGATGGGCAGTGGAGCAGTCCCTCGCGGGCCAGCCGTTGATAATACATGTCTAGCAGGAGTTGGCGCATCCAGGATGAGGAAGAGGAGGAGGAGGAGGAGGAGGAGGAGGAGGAGGAGGAGGGAAGGATAAGTCAGGGGCAACGTTAGGGGCGGAAGACTCAGGGGGGAATGCACCGACCCCGCCCAGGAAAGTGCGGCTTCGCTCTCGGGGGGGCCCTCTCCGATCTATCGGCGATGTATCGCCGATTCCAGGGCGATACTCCCCCCACTGAGCTGGTCCCCCCTATCGTTGCCCCTGACTGGCGCAGGCAGGATGACGAAAAGGAGGAGGAGGAGGAGGAGGAGGAGGAGGAGGAGGAGGAGGAGCTATCCAACTCGTGTGTATGGCGTGCGTATGGGCATAACATCTCCACTGTCAAGAGACCTGCCTGCCCCATGCAGTGCAGTCGGAACGAGGTATAAGATCGAGGTCGGTTCGGGGAGGGTACCCTGATGTTCTTCGTGCTTGTAGGGTGTTATTGTGCATCCTGGGGAGGGTACCCTTGGATGTTCGGTGTGTTCTGGTCGACGGAGGGTCTCATAGTTTAGCGGGATGCTTTTCTGGCCTAGGTCCGACTGTGCTCCTCTGGCGATTGAGCTGTTCGTGTCGAGTAGACCGCGTTTCTCCGTAGTGACTTTCGTAACAGACCGTGCGCCTTTCGAGAGCAATCTCTCGAGCAAAAATGTGCGCGTGCCCAGCATACTTTAGGACGGGGCTAAAACGAGATTAGATCCGTTCCAGAGCGTTCCGGAACGCTCCCAGAGCGTTCCTGAACGCTCTGAGAAGGCCGCGGCGCCCGATGGAGGACCGCAGGATCGCAGAGGTTTTCGATATTTATCCTAATCCGTTGTGATCCTCGTCTTAGTTTCGTCTTATACTACGTCGCTGCTGTGGGGGACCGCGTCTGTCCCAAAAATCGGTGCCTTGTAGTGTGCCCGACGCGGACTCGACGCGGATTTAGCGTGGATTCGACTCGGATCCGGGTTCGACGCGGATTCGACGACTCCGACGTAGATTCGACACGGACTCGACGCGGACGGGGGCGCGACCAGACAGACTAGGTCCCCCGAAGAAGCAACACAAAACAGAGTGCTAGCGCCGCAATCTTCCGTCTGGAGCACCGCCGCGCAGTACGCAGCATTGTATTTGCCATGATGCTCGTTCTCTATCGCGGTTCTTTATCTCCCTCTCTGCCGGTTGCTTCCTGTCCTGCCGCTAACGTTGTCGTCCACTCATGGCGTTGGGCAATTGGTCACGAGCATCCACACGTGCAGTTGGTTTGCGTTGACCAGCGGTGACCCTTTCCGCGGGGTCCTCATATCACCAGGACGCAATATTCGAGAGAGAGGGAGAGGGGGGGGGGAGCAGGGGAGGGAAGAGGAGAGGAAGGGGAGGGGGGAGAGAGAGAGAGAGAGAATGCGAGCTTGATTGAAAATGAGAACGAGAGCGAGAGAGAGGATAGTATAGAGAATGAGAGTGAGAGAGAGCGAGGAACTGAAGCGAGATAGAGACAGAGAACATACAGAGAAGGAGAAGGTGCGGCGATGTCGTCTTGCTGTGGTGTCTGTCGCGGCTGCGGCTTTTTTCTTGTGCCTCGGCTCGAGCCCACGGCCTCTTTGCACCGTCGGTAGGCGCGGCCCACACTTTCAGCCGATCATTGCCAAGGCCCTCCTTGCCAAGCCTCCTCCTCATCCTCATCCTCATCATCAGCAGCAGCAGTATCACCTCCCTCCCGACACTCTCATCTCCTCTCCCCTTCATTTCTCTCCTCTGTATCCTCCCCCCTTCCCTGTTTCCTTTTCTCCTCATCCTCCTCATTTCGTCTCTCTCCTTCTCCTCCTCCTCCATCTCCTTTTGTTTGTAATTCTTGACTTTGTGCGTCTGCTCACCAGCCCATCCAGAACCGATGCCCAGGGGAGCGGTTTGGAGGAGCGGCGCAGGTAGGAGGAAGCATATAGTGCAGCAGGGAGGCCAATGGTAGTGAAGGTAGACCTCGGAGAGCCTCTCGGAGCCATCTGCGTGCCCATGTTGGACATCCTTGGGGCTCTCTTGGGGTTCTCTCCGGATCCTCTCGGGGCCTTCTCGGAGCCCTTTTGGAGCTCTTGGGCGGGTAACAGCCCATTCGTCGCCCCTGCTTGCCCGTTGCGGGACTGGGGGAAGAACATTGCTCCCTCGTCGTCTTGCCTCCCTTTGCGGTGGCCTGGCACGTACACCTCGTGCGCTTGGGCGGGAGGTGGGCCCTTCGCGGGGGTCTCCGAGGGGGATCCCAAACCCTCCTTTCAACGGCCAGGCTGCCCCGCCCTGGCGGACGTGGGGGCGTGGAGTCGCCCGAGGAGATGGTGCCCCTCGGGCGGGTTAGGGTTAAGTCGGGCCTGTCCCTCTACAGGAGGAGTGTCCGAAAATAGTAAAAAATTGTCTGGGTCATTTTTATGTTTTGTTGAATCTCTGAAATGTTTCGCTCAACTCAGCCTGTAGGGGGACACGCCCGGCCAAGAAGGCGCGTCGTTCTCTGAGATTGGACGCGGCTCGAAGGACGGACCGAGGCAATCGGCTCGCTCGCGTCGGTTTCCTGCCTGTGGCACGCCCAGGAGCTGTGCAGGAGCCGAGTCCACGAGCGGCCGAGGTTTGCCGACAGGCACGCTCGCTTTCATCGGCCTCCATCGTGCTTTGCAATGCGCGCGTTGTCGTCTTGTCCTTCTTCGGTGTTAAGTTTTTCGCCGTGGTCAAGGGGCTCGGGCTCCTGAGTTCGCGGTCTGCGTGTCCGCGAGTATTCTTCCAGCGACACGAGAAGAGGGCCCTAGACACTGAAAAGCGCAACAGGACACCTCATACTTACGAGGTGTCACCCTAGCCATCAGGCAGACGAACTTGCGTGACAAGGCATTCAGGCATCACCCTGGTGAAACCTCCTGGAGCTCTCTTGTGGCCCTATTGGATTCATCTTGGAGATACTCGATCAGCAGAAAGGGTCGTATATGCCAACCCCCCCGGGTCTCCCCGTCGCGGCCATAAGTAATTCCTCCTAGAGCCCTCTCGGGGAGTTTGCTGGGCGATCTTAGGCGCTCCTGGGGCCGCATTGAGACCACTTTGGGCCCCTCTTGGGGCTCTCTTGGGCCATATTGCAGCCATTTTGAGGCATCAAGAGCTCATCGGAAACGACAAGGCAAAATGACAAACCACGTGTGTCCCCAACAGGTTTGGATTGGTTAGGGCCACTCTGAGGGAGGCTTGGGGGAGTCCTTGGGAGGCCCCGTGGCCACTTCGAGCCGTCGTGGAACGGTCACGGCGCCTCTTGGAGGCATGCTGGAAGATGTATTGTGTCAGATTGGGTTATCGCGCGCGATCTTTGGAGCCATCTTGGGCGCTCTAAGCTGTCGCGGCGCCGCCCTGTCCAAACACAGGGAATAGAGGTGGGGCCGCGACCTCCAGTCGGCAGCGAGTCTGGCGACACCAGAGAGGAGCCCCTTGCAGAGTCCGACTGCAAGCGGGCGCGCAGTGGTCGGGGTGCCAGGGCGAGGTGGGCGCTCCTGGGCTCGCGTCGCTCGCGGCCCCCTGCCCTCGAGGGCCGCCTCTCGCCTCTCGACGGGGGGTTGGCGGCCGAACGGGAGGTGGAACTTCAGGGGGGGGCCTTGAGATGGGGGCAATGCAGATGGGGGTCAGCCCGAGCGCCAGATCTTGCAGGATCCTGCAAAGCCAAGGGTGCACCGACCAGGGCTTGCGCGCAGGATCCAGCAGGATCCTACAGGATGTTGCGGGATCTTGCAACGCCCCAGTGACCCAAGTTTGTATTGACCCAGATCAGTAGATCCCCGAAGGGTCGGTTCCGCGCCAGTAATGAAATTTGGGTGGACCCAAGAACTGAGGTCCCCGAGCGTGGGGGTATCGGGGCGAGGAAGGGGGTCAGGGTCGGTTGTTCCGAGTACGGATGTCCCAGAGGGTGGGGGTACCAGGGCAAGATGGGGGGTCAGGGACGGCTCCGGGCGAAACAATGTGGGGTGGAGGGTCCCACGAACAGAGATCCAAGAAGGTGGGGGGGAGTTGAGAGGGGGGGCTCGAGGACTGCAGGGAAGTGCCCCAGAGACCCTCCACTCCCAGCTCCACCCCCCTCCCCTCACGAACGGCGAACATATCTGTATCCGCGCCCTCGCGGTCTGGGTTCCGGGGCACGATCTAGAGGATACGCGGTCGCACGGATGCGTTCCGCGCGCGGCATCTTTGAAACACGCCCCGTATCCGCAGAACCGCGGTCCAGGGGCCCAGCTCGCGAGGTCGCCGTGTATCGCCCACGATCCCACCCTCCGACCCCTTCCATTCCTTCGATTCGCAGAATCTGCGTTTTCCCTCCACCCCGAGGCTGGGGTTTTCGACCCCACTCCACGCATCGGGTCCCCATGTTCGTTCTCCTTGGTCGTCAATCCGACACACGGGGGGCATTGAGCGGCCCTTCCAGCCTGCCACCGCGGGCCCAAAACATGCCGTAAAATGTACCGCCATGTTGCAATGCTCTTTCCTTCGCACGTTCCCGCACGTGCAACGGGCAACCCACGTACATGTAGCTGGCAGGGGGCGCCCTGGAAGCACTCCACTCCACTCGCGGCTCGTGCTCGAAGGGCGACAGAGGATGCACGATTTCCTCCCCCCTCTCGCCTCCCCCACCTGTCAGCGAAGGCGCCCGGCTGGTGAGCGGGCCGCCCCCCTCAGCCGCAGGCCGCCCGCGGCGATGGCTGCCGCGGAGGCGCTGCCCGCCCTCACCATGGACGAGGCGAGCTTCGGGGGGGGGGTGTCGGTCGACGGCGAGCGAGAGCGAGCGACCGCGCGGTGCACGCCAGAGATGCGTTGGCAGCAGTGGACAGAATGACAAACAAAGATTTACACTGCAATCTGCGAGCAGACATTACGCGCTGCGTGTCGACGGCGAGCCCAGGGGGGACGTCAGGCGGCGCCATGCATGCCAGAGATGCGTCGGCAGTCGTATACTGAAGCTGGGTCTGTCCCTCTACAGGAGGAATATTCAAAAACATCCCAAGAATAGTCAGGGGACAATTTTTCCATGTTTTGACTATTTCGGGTATGTTGTTTGAAAGTTTTTCGTCCAAAATTCGCCTGTAGGTGGACACGGCCGACCTAATAGTACGCATAATGACAAATAAAGACTTACACTGCAATCTGCGAGCAGACACTGCGCGCTGCGTGTTGACGGCGAGCCCAGGGGGGGAAGTCAGACGGGGCGGGCCTGTCCAAAAAGGCTCAGAAGTGGTAAGGAAGTTCCAGGCGAAACGCCCAGTCCGCCCTTCTGACTAGCTTCGGGGTGCGGCAGGGAGGAGTTCTTCACAACGAAAAGGGAGCAGGAATATAGGAGAAGGAGGAGGGGGGGGGGGGGGGGACGGGGGGGGGGATGGGGAGGAGGAGGAGGAGGAAAAGGAAGAGGAGGAGGAGGAGGAAGAAGAGGAGGAGGAGGAAGAGGACAAGTGACAAACTCCAGGGCAAAGGACAGCCCCCACGGGAAGGGGTGCAGGGCTCCAGAAGCCACGCATCAAAGCCAGCATGGCATTGGAAGTCCCTGACGCGGGGTCCCACGGAGGGACCAAATTGTAGAGTGATTCGACACCGCTTGGAGACATAGAGGGGCGGAGGGCGAGGTGAGGGAGGGAGGAGTCAACGTCGAGGTTCGGGGATCGATTTTCGCGGGTCAAACAAACATCGAGGGCGCTTGCCGCGGCTGAGCGTTTTTGCCTCCATAGTGAATGTATTGTGTGGGGGTCAAGGCCCCCCAAAATGGATCCGAGCTCATACGGTCGGAGGATGGTGCCACATCGCCGATGCATCGGCGATGCGGTTCGATACGGCGCCCCCGATTTTCCAAACGCCGGCGGCGCCGATGCAGTGCGACGTCGCCAGTGCGTCGTTAATGCATCGATGATGCACCGGCGATTCGGCGCGATCCTCCGAGTCCGTCTATTCCGACCCCATATAGGAGACTTCTGTGGAGCTGGTACAGTAGCTACAATTGCAAACACGATGTGGGAACGACGATCAACAGCAGCCCCTGCCCACTTTGGACAAGATTTGTTGTCAGTGTCACCGCGGTCGCTGGCCCGACAGTGACCGCTGTCGGTTTTGGACGACGCCCGTTGGATTTCGAGGTGGCCTAGCTCCCATTTTTTCGCCACCATTCAGGGCGTCCAAGCCCAGTGGCCACGCATATGACGAATCAACAAATAGTCAACGCGCACGGCAATCATGTGTAGGACTCCCAAGGGTATTTTTGCGTCGTTTGATATTCGGCCGTCCCCTTCAGCCTCTGGCTCGAACCGCGCATCTTCACCATACGCGTTGTTTGCATCGCCCCCATTCCCCACCGTGTTCCGTTGGAATTCATCATCCGACACCATCGGCGGCACGGCCAAGACGTGGGCTCGGAAAGGGTTCGCTGCTCTTCAGGTGTTTCCATGGTTGTTCCTCGAATGCCCCTCGTGCACCCAGGCGTTTTGGGGACCTAAAAGGCCGCCGCTCATTCGAGTGGAGACGCGCATCAATGAACCAGTTGTCCTCCGACTGGTTGTTGTGTGTTTTCTCGGTTCCAATCACAATCAAGCCTCTGAGATCCTGCGGTTTCAGGTTGAGTCTCTTGTGTATTGAGCGTTCCTTATGGCAGTGTGCAGACTTCTGATACCCAGACACCTTCCGATATGAGTTTCCAACCCGAGGCCCAGAGTTGCCGACCCCTTCCCCAGGGATAGTTGTTTGTCCCAGATGCTGTTGGATGGTCCTGGGGTCCGATAGCGGGCCCCGAAGGTCGAAGTCAAGAAAACGCCGTTGAACGAGTCACATCTTCGAAGGTCTGGGTATGAGCCCGAATGCATCTTGAGGCCGGCGGGTAGCCGGGGGCGCAGCGCGAGGTGGCCAAGCACAACACCAAGGAGGACTGTTGGGTGGTACTGTACGGCAAGGCGCGGGCCCCCCTTGCGATAGAGGGTCGAGGGCCCTGATCTCCGAGGGCCCGGTGTTCTTCAAGATGGGCGTCGTTGCGTTGCCTCCATCCTTCTCCCGTGCTCCGTGCCCGCTGTTGTGTCGTGCAGTTGAAGCGGCCGTACCTCGAGCCTACAACTTCTCATCGTCACCCTGACCCCACCAGTGCCTCCGTTGTGTGTTGACTGACCTGCGTGGCATCCTCTCTCACCCTACTCAGCCCTACTCCCCGCGGAGCGATTTCCTCCCACTCCCGTGCCCAGTTCCAGAAAAACAGCATCTGGGCGTGCTTGCCAGATTTCTGTTTCTGGGGCCCGCTATCGGGCCCTGGGGCCATCAAACATGGATGCGGGAAACTACCCCCCTCGGGAAGGGCCGCGCAGTTCGTTGCGCTTCGCGGTCTGGGCGATTTCAGAGCGAGGCGCGAGTCCCTCATCCTGCTCCAGGGGGGGGGGGGGATTGGCTCGAGGTTCGAGTGGGCTCGGGGCTCGAGGTTTTCGGTCGTGTTCGTCGATTCTCGGCGGATTCCCAGCCTGGGTATGCTCGCCAGCAGCTGCGCCTCGCCGAGAGCACTACGAGGATGCCTGGATCGCCCGGGACGGCCGCTGGAGAGCCGAGTTGTGACCCGAAGACCAGAGCGCAACGTTCGAGGGGGGTGCTCTGCGCGGGGGGTGGGGGTGCGAAAGCGCGAAGAGGATCGCACGGAGCGCGGGTCGCCGAGAGCGAAGAGAGTTGCCCGTTGGCGTGTTTGCTGTCAGTCCCGTCGGTGTTCCTTCCATATCTCTCTCTCGGGAGCCGCGCAGGGGGGGGGGGGAGGGAAGGCACTCGGGGGGGGGGCGCGGGCTGCAGAGAAGGGGCCCTTGAGGGCCACCAGTTGGGCCCTGTAGAACCCAAAAGGGTACCCTTAGGGCCCGCGAAGTGCACCTTCCTCCCGCCCCCCCGCCCCCCCTTTTTGAGCGACGCCCAACACCTCGGCCTCTCGGGGCCCGCCGCCTCTGGCGCCGCTAGGGGAGAACGGGGGGCGCCGCCACGACTGCGCTGCACGTCCCGGCGGGAGGCTTACGACCTGGGCAAGTTCGCCAGGGTGCACCCCGGGGGCGCGAAGCTCATCTACGACTGCGCTGGCAAGGACCCCCCCAGGGGGGGAGCAGGGGGGAGGGGGATGCTGGAGAAGGCGAAAAGAACTGGGAGGTGAGGAGGGAGGGGGCGGAGGACGAAGGGGGGCGGAGTGTGAGAATCTCGACGAGGACGAGGACGAGGACGAGGAAGGGGGGATGGAGGACGAGGAGGCGGAGGAGGGGGTGAGGAGGAGGAGGGAGGAGGAGGAGGAGGAGGAGGAGGAGGAGGAGGAGGAGGAGGAGGAGGGAGGAGGAGGAGGAGGAGGAGGAGGAGGAGGAGGGAGGAGGAAGGCGAGGGAGGCGGAGGGGAGGTGGGGGAAAAGGAAAAGAGCGGGAGGAAGTGGCTGCGGAGAAGGAGGAGGAGGGAGGTAGGAGGGAGGGAGGAGGGCGAGCAAGGAGGACAAGGGAGAGGGGGAAGGGGCGGGGCGGGAGGAGGAGGGAGGGAGAGGGGGAGGAGGAGGAGCAGGAGGAGGAGGGGGAGGGAGGAGAGGGAACTTGACAGCTACCTTGCTGGATCATCTCCCCCCCTTCCCAGGGGCGACCACACGCGGGCGAGGGATGGCAGCATCCGTAGGTCAGTCAGTCAGTCGGTCCGTTAGTCAGTCAGACAGTCAGTCAGTCAGTCAATCAGTCGGTCAGTTAATCAGTCAGTCAGTCAGTCAGACAGACAGTCAGGAGGAGGAGGAGGAGGAGGAGGGACGAGTAGGGAGGAGGAGGAGGAGGAGGAGGAGGGGAGGAGGAGGAAGAGGGTGGAGGAAGAGGAGGAGGAGGAGGAGGAGGAGGAGGAGGAGGAGGAGGAGGAGGAGGGAGGAGGAGGAGGAGGAGGAGGAGGAGGAGGAGGAGGGGAGAGGAGGGTGGAGGAAGAGGAACATGTGGGAGGAGGGACGAAGAAACAGGGCTCGAATCTCAGCTAGATCGAACCCCAACAGCAGAAGGAGGAGGCCAGAAGGGGGGAGGGAGAGAAGAGAGGGAGATAGCCAAGCTAGGTACGTGCGCGCCAGATGTGATGTTCAACATACTACTCCTGCCCATCCCCTCCCACTACGCCGCTGTTTTCTCTATAACCGCCGACGGGTGTCCGAGCGAACCTCAATTCCCACAATGATCCCACCGTGTGATGCGCAATCAGAGCGGGGAGCTGTGTAAGTTGGAGGAGAAGATCGAGGCGGAGGAGGAGTTTGTGGTGGATGAGCAGGAGGATGAGCAGGAGCAGCAGCAGCATCAGCAGCAGCAGCACGAGAAGCGGGATGAACAAGATTGCCATGGAAAGGCGGAGGAACGGAACAGAGTGGGGCGACAACGGCCAGGAACCACTCGGATAATTACAACATGTTGCCCGCGCTGGGGAAAGAACGCCATCCTGAACGACGGGAGCAAAGCGTAGATCCTACAATGGGCCAACGCTGCAGCGGAAACACCAGTTTGAAAAGACACAAGCGCTCCAATTGCAAAAGCATGTCGAACGTTTTATCGAAGACGCCTACGGCGAATCACCGCCGCCGCCTGCCATTTTTGAAACGCCTATGTGGCCGAACGTTGAGGCCAGACCTGCCAAGCTATCGGACCATGTGATCCCCGAATCGGTTTGGAAAGCTTTCTGGGAACACGTGGACATCTTGAAGGTCATCTTGGCCGTCTAGAGGCCATGTTTACCCTGTCCGGCCTTCTTGGAGGACGTCTTGGAGGGTTCTTGGGCCGTCTTGGAGGCCATCTTGAGCGTCTTGGAGATCTCTTGGGCTGTCTTGGGGGCCTCTTGGGGCCGTCTCTTGGGCCTCTTGGGCGATCTTTGGGGGCCTCCTGGGCCATCTCTGGCCGTCGGAAGGCAGAAAAAAAGCAAATGCCACAATCCTTCGAAAACCTATGGGAAATCAAGGATTTGGGCCTTTTCGGGCCTTCCTGGAGGCCCTCTTGGAGGCCTCTTGGGCCGTCTTGGGCCATCTTAGCGGCCATGTACGGCCGTCTTGGTGGGCTCCTGGTCCGTCTGACGCCGTCGGAAGCCGTTTGGGGGGCCTCTGTGGGCCGACTTGGGGCCCTCTTGGAATGCTCCAGGGCCGTCTTGGAGGCCAGCTTGGGCGTCTTAAACGGCCTCCAGTGCCGTCTTGGGGACCTCTGAGGGCAGTCTTGGGGCCCTCTTGGGCAGTTCTGGGGCCATCTTGGAGGCCTCTTTTGCGATCTTTCGACGATCTTTGTGGGCTCTTGGGCTGTCTCGGGCCGTCGGAAGGCCGAAAAGAAACACATGTTTAAATCCGTCGAACACCTAAAACCAAATCAAGGTTTGGGGCCCCTTCTGGCCTTCCTGGAGGCCCTCTTGGGGGCCTCTTGTGCCGTCTTGGGCCAGTTTCGGGCCAATTTCGGCCATCTTGGTGAGTTCCTGGCACGGCTGACGCCGTCTGAGCCCTCTTGGGGGCCTTTCTGGGCCGACTTGTGGCCCTCTTGGGGCGTTTCGGGGCCGTCTTGGAGGCCATCTTGGGCGTCTTGGAGGCCATCTTGGGCGTGTTGGATGCCGTCTTGGGGCCCTCTTGGGGCCGTCTTGGAGGCCAGTCGGGCCGTCATGGGGCCCTCTTGGAGGCCTCTTGGGCGACCTTGGGGCGACCTTGGGGCGATCTTGGGAGCCTCTTGGGCCGTCTGGGGCCGTCGGAAGGCAGAAAAAAGCAAATGCCACAATCCTACAACAACGTAAGGAAAATCAATAAGTTTGGCCTCTTTGGGCCTTCCTGGAGGACCTCTTGGAGGCCTCTTGGGCTGTCTTGGAGGCCTCTTGGGGGCCTCTTGGGCCGTCTTGAGCCATCTTCAGGCTATCTTAGGCCGTCTTGGGTGCATCTTGGGCCGTCTTGGAGGCATACTAGGGCCATCTTAGCCGTCTTGGAAGCCATCTTGGCGCCGTCTGGGGATGGAAATCCGTTTGCAACTGGGTCTTCGGGTGGCAAGCGTGACGGGCCCAAGCCCCAGGGGGAGTTCTTTTGGAAAAAGAGCCAAAACCAAAAGCCATATCGTCTGGCACGCCAGGCACCCGTTTGATACATCAAAAGGGGGCGGCGGATCGAGTGGCCCTCGGCCGATCCCATCACCGCGCCCAGGTTGTGGGTCAGAGTTCTCAGGGATGGTTCTTCGGGTCTCTTCGGAGCGCTCTCGGGGGCCTCGTGGGAGCAGTTTGGGAGCCTCTTGGGGCCCTTTGGAACTCTGTTGGGGGTCTCTTGGGGCAGCTTGGGGGCCTTCCTCTTGTGGGCCTCCTGGGGGCTTCTCGGGGCCGAAGGCTCGAAACGTCCGTTCTGGTTCCCAATCTTGGCCCCCGCTTGGGGCCGCCGTTGGGCCGTCTTGGCGCCTCATGGGCCGTCTTGGGGCCCTCTTTGGCTGTCTTGGAGCTCTCTTGGGAGCCTCTGGGGCCCTCTTGGGGCGATCTTGGGGGCCTCGTGAGCCGTCGTGGAGCGTCGGGGGGTCGAAACGGCAAGAACGCCGAAACCCTTCAAACACTGAGGGAACAGCGCTTTAAAGACAGGAGCGCTCCGATTGCAAAACTAATGATAACGTATGGTATCTCACGGGGAGAGCTACCCGCACTTGGGTTGGCCGGTTATTGGGGGTTGGTTTGGGGGGAGCTTTACCGTTGCAGTGGAATGTTGCACCATCACGGAGTCCATGCGAATTTTTACCATTGGAAGCGATAGGGCCGGCTCTCTTTCCCGATCAGATTCGTCGAAGTCTGAGGCATTGTCATATCCGTAAGGACTTCACCCCCTGCCGCTGGCCCCCTCTCTCGGAGAATGGGCCATGGAAGAGCGAAGTCATGAGGCTTTGGCTTCGCCGTGAAGCAGTGTCGGGACCCGTTAGTTTTTCGACGCTGACCCTGCGGATCTGCATCACGGATGCCACCGAATTTCAGAAATGAGGCAAATCCCTTGTGTGTTTTGGACTCTGACCCTACGGATCTGCGTAAGAGGTGCCGCCGAATTTCAGAAATGTGGCAAATTCCATGTGTTTTTGGACCCTGACCCTGCCGATCTGCGTGAGGGGTGCCGCCGGATTTCAGAAATGTGGCAAATTCCATGTGTTTTTGGACCCTGACGCTTCCGAGCTGCGTGAGGGGTGCAACGGAATTTCAGAAATGTAGCACATCCTTTATGTTTTTGCACCCTGACCCCGCCGATCTGCGTGAGGGGTGCCAATAAATTTGAAAAATATTGCAAATCCCCAATGTTTTTGCACCCTGACCCCGCCGATCTGCATGAGGGGTGCAACCGAATTTCAGAAATGTAGCACATCCTTTATGTTTTTGCACCCTGTCCCCGCCGATCTGCGTGAGGGGTGCCAGTAAATTTGAAAAATATGGCAAATCCTCGTGTTTTTGCACCCTGACCCCGCCGATCTGCGTGAGGGGTGCCAGTAAATTTGAAAAATATGGTAAATCCCATGTGTTTTTGCACCCTGCCCGCCGATCTGTTTGAGGGGTGCCACCGAATTTCAGAAAAGTTGCAAATCCTTTGTGTTTTTGCACCCCGACCCCGCCGATCTGCGTGAGGGGTGCCACCAGATTTCAGAAAAGTGGCAAATCCTTAGTGTTTTTGGACCCTGACCCCGCCGATCTGCGTGCGGGGTGTAATTTTGTTTACGCACCCCAGCAATTCAGACAATACGATTTCTCCGTGGTAGAACTGCCCGTTTTGGGCCTCCGCCCTCGCGCAGCCCATCAACAAGGAACAGTAAGCAGCTGGTAAGCAGCAAGAAGTCAACAAGGAACAGTAAGCAGCAAGAAGCAGAACTGTAACAGTGGAAACTGGAAGCTGCAACTGGTACAGGAAACTGCGCACCTCCGGCCTACAGCTTGGTGGCCCCACAAGGGGGCCGGCGGATTTCTCATGTTCGTCCTCCCCCTGCGGCGTCCTTTTTCTCTTCGCCCTCCTCTGTTTATCTTTGTTGTGTATCGGCATATGCACACTCTCTGCCACTTGGCCAGCCGACAGCCAGCCAACTCAAGAAGGGATTATCCGATTTGTAAACCAACAACGCAAAGTGCACGGTCGTCTTCGTAGCATGGACGTTCTGTCGGCCACGTTGCAGAGTGCGTGGCAGGAATGGGACGCGCCGCGCATCTTGGGCAAATGGCCGAAATGTCATTTGCGCTTATGTTTCTAGCGACGTGAGCTCCCGCCTATGCGCGGCGTGCCATTTTCGCATGCAATTCTGTCGATGCGCGAACGGACGACAGTTCTGCTCTCGCTTCGGCGCCGCGCAGAGAGTTCGCCTGGAAGTAACGCTCCCGCCTTGGCGCGGCGCATGTAGTTCAACCACCAGATTTTGAGAGCCCGCGCCTATGCGCATTTAACTGGGATGTGGCGTTCCCGCGCGGGCGCGGCGCAAAGTTCGTTCTCCGTGTCGCGTGAAAACTACAACGGCAGTTGGGCCGCGCGAGAGCGTGCAAAATACCGACCTCAACCAAGCGCCTCGCAGCTTGTAAGTGAAAGTGGCAGTGTTGTGTCAGCGCCGGTGCAGTTCCCGCCCTTGCGCGGCCCGCGTCGTCATCCTTTCGCCGAGACGTCGGAATCGGAGCCGCCAGCGAGCGCCTTCCGTTTGCTAGGTGGGAGCGCGTTCAAATCCCAAATTCAGGTTCTACCGCAATTGGTTATGTTGTGGGGGGAGGGGGGGAATAGGCGGGGGCCCAGGGTTCGCTGAACCCAGCTGACTTGATTCCTCCTCGTGCCCATGGAACGAAGCATCCCTCGTCGTCACTCGTCGTGCCTTCACTCCTCCCTCACCGCTCTCTGCGCCCGTGGGGCTACGGGGCCTGGGCTGCGCAACTTCGGGCCCTCGCCCTGCGCGGTTCGAGCGACGATGCCCCAGCTGCTGCGTCTGAGCCGCCTGAGGGGGAGAGCAGTTGGATCCTCGATCCTCGAAATTCCAGGTTCGTTCCTCGATCCTCCATCCTGGATCCTCGGATCCTCGATCCTCGAAGTTCGATCCTCGACCCTGGGCACAGGGGGCACGGGGGAGAGAGGGAGGGAGTGCCTGGAATGTGGGGCGGCACCGTTCCTCGAGCACACCCTCGTCGCCGCCTCTTCCCTCCCAGAGCTGCTGCCCTTCCCCATTGGGGGGCGGCGCGCGGGCGCGAAGACGGCCGCGCATCGCGGGGCGCGGCGCCGTCAGCTGGGCGACAGATGAGTCACGTCCCGCTTTCCCATCGGCCTTCCCTGCTCTTCTTCCTCGCCTTCGCCTCGGCCACAAGCTGTCTCTCAGGAGGGGAGGAAAAAACACAGACACAGTGAATCGTCGATTCCCAGGAAAATATGCGCAAATATGAGAAGTGGGGGGGAGACGAAAACCCGAAAATATTGGAAATATGGTGCATCCTGGGATTTGTGTCTTATTTGTTTTCCTGGGCTTCTTTCATCTCGAGTGGCGCCATGCGTCCCTAGGACGGCACGGCCCTGTTCGACCCCATCCACCCGAAGGACATCATGGACAAGTTGCTGAAGCCGGCCCTCACGATGGGCATCGTTGATCCGGCCACCATCAAGGAGGACAGAGGTCCCAAGTTCGAAGGCAGGAAACGGCCTGCATGCACATGAATTGTTGGAGTTCCGCGCGGATGTTGTTGCATCTGCGCTGGGCCCAGAAACACTGCCAGTGGCCATCGAACAGAAATCGCAGAGGGGGGTCCGAACGACCGGGACATAGAGGAGCAGGGGAGGAGGAGGAGGAGGAGGAGGAGGATTCTGCGGCTAGGGTAGGTAGGCTCCTCCTGACACCCCCCCTTCTCGTGCCTCCGCCTCGTCCCTCGTTTGTGGTCTCTCTCTCCGCCCCCTCCGTATCCAAGGGCGCCCACGAGGGCGCGAAGTTCTTACGCTTCGCGGTTCGGCCCCGATGCCTCCTCACCCTCCTCTCCTCCCCTGGGGGGCAGCGCGAGGGCGCGAAGTTGCTCGCGCTCCGCGCAGCACGAAGCACGAAGTTCGGCGCCCTTGCCTCTGCGCCCCCCCCCGTCTCTGCGTTCCTCGGCGTTGGGCCATGGCTTGTGGGAGCTGCTCTGCACGGGTGCCCCGTGCATCCCCGTCTCCCCGTCACAGCCAGCTGACAGGAGGAGGGAGACGGACGACGAGGACGAGGACGAGGGGACCCGCACGAGGTCGGGGAAAGGAACGAGGAGGGAGGCCCAGGCAGGAGGCAGGTGTACGATTCTCGACAATATCCTCCAAATGGTTGACGCCCCCCCTTCAATGCGGGTCCCATTCGCCCCTTCAACGTCGGCCCCTTTCAATGTCAAGGCAGGGCGACACACGGTCTAAGCCAGTGTGGCTCGGAAGTTCCAAGGTGGCCGACATTGGAGGGGGGGTGCCAACAAGTGTTTATCATGCAATGTCACCCGAGCCCAGGACATCATCGACAAGGAAATTGCGTGTCATTGTTTTTCAGGTTCATCTTGTCGAGGGTATAGTAGGATGAGGACGAATCGATCCAGTGCGTTCCGGAACGCTCTCGTGAGCGTTCTGGAACGGCCGCGGCGCCCGTTGCATCCTACAGGCCCGCCATCTCTCGGAGATTCCCGATTTGGTTTTCATCCGACTTTGCATTCATCTTGCCATCGCAGGGCCGCATACGATCCGATTGGATGCGATTCGATTCGGTTGGGGCCAGCTGGCGCTGGGCACGGCGATCCTGTTTCAATCTGATTCGGGGCGATCTGTTTCCTATCCGATCCGATTCCGCGATTCGATCCAGCTCAGGCCAGCCCTCGTCTTAGAGGAGGCGGAGGAGAACGAGGACAAGGAGAGGGACGACGAGGAGATGGACAATGACGAGGAGGAAGACGAGGAGGAGTACGAGGAGGAGGAGGAGGACGAGGACGAGGAGCAGGACAAGGACGAGGATGGGGACGACGGGGAGGAGCGAGCAGGACGAGGAGCAGGACGAGACGACGACGCCGAGATTGGCGTGGCTGGGTGGAGGGCGAGCGCCTCGGCGCTGGTCCCGCCCGCCACTATGCCCCCGCCTTTGTCCACCGTTTCTCATCCTCAGGATTGGCGACGGGGCAGGAGCCGCTCCAATTCTGTCGATTCTAATCGATTCGCTTTCGAGGATTCCGATTTCGATTCGATTCGATTGGATTCCGACTTATGCTTAGATTTTCTCTTATGGTTCGGTTTGAGACAGCGGATGTCGATTATGATGCCTTACTATCCGCTCATCGATTCCTGCCAATTCGATGCATTCCGATGATGGCCGATTCGATGTTGTGTCATCTTGCTTCTCCTGCTCCTCTGGAGAGACGAGGGGTTGGCTTCGGGATGCTTTTGGCCTTGGCTTTTTTTTGGAGGCCTCTGAGGAGGAGGGGGGCCGAGACCTCCAATGCCTCGATGTTTGCTGAGGCGGAGGCCCTGGAGTTCTCGACCCCTTCCAGGGGAGTGCACACGTGCGTCCTGAAGTGTGCAGATCAGGTCAAGCCGCACAGTGAGGATAAGAGACTTTCCAAGGGTACCCTATAGCACCATTCCCCGCAGGCCCATCCTTGGCCACGTCTGCTGGCCGCGCCCCGCTCGCAAAGTGTCGACATGGCCTTACAAGGCCCTTGCATCCTTGCAGCGCATCCTTACCACACGGGCTCACTGTATGGCGAAGAAGATTCGTGACGTTTTTTTCTCAAGAGGCTGGAGGTAACCCCGAAGGTCTTTAATACACCCCATGGCGATGATGGGAACCTGGCTATTTCGCCCGCGTGTGTGTTGACGGACTGGGCCCCCAACAATACTCGGGAA